TGGATTAAATGCACTACAGAGTACTAAAAATTTTTGACAAATTTCTCGAACTTTTCCGTTTTAACAGCTTCGCCAGTTCAAATCTTCATCTTCCTGAACAACTGCGTTACTTTTATCTTCCCCCTGTTCTGGATTTTTCTCTTCATTTATAATCATACAAAAATATTTCAGGTTTCACTAATTTCACTACTTTTATGGAGTTTATTCTGCTAAGCCTGATTATCGCGTCTCTGTTCACAGATGTAAGTAAGCAACTCCCCTTTATGTTCTCAAGTGCCCCCGAGGGGCCCTTAAAAACTTGCTATTTTGAGTTTACTCAGCCTTCTCTTCTCTTCATCATAGAAATTGCTCAGAGTGATGCTGTCCGGGGAGCACTTGTGCTGAAAAAATCGCATCAACAATCGATGGATTCGGACGATAACATAGAAGAGTTAGAAGATTTTGAAGAAGAGCATATAAGAAATGAATTAGACAGAGCTGGCATTTTTGAGCAGGGGTGGGTCCCATTTTAGTTGTCGTGAAAAACTTTAGTTCGAAAAATCATTTTTTAGAGAAACCAGGGACTTTTTGCAGTTTCTAAAGATGATCAGGTACGACCACAGACAATGTCCTGAGGACGAGAATGGAGGTAGGCAAAAGCGAAAATGCTTCTGTGCGTGATCTGGGATGTTTGAGGACCAGTTTTCGTCAATGTCTCTATCGTGGTCAGCAACATCCGATCAGTTTCTGAAGTGACCATGGTGGGTAACAACATATAGAAATCTCTCAACCTTTGAGAAACTTTTTAGCAACTTTTTAGCACTTTTTTCTTCTCGGAATTTTCTATTCTTTGTCCCTAAAAATCATCAAGCCATAAATAGCACAAGTTCAGGACTTCTCTCTAGAGATGTTCTATCGAGAAGAATGGCGAGATCCTCGACTCAAATACAGTAAGGCGAAGTTCAAGAACAAGGTATACATTTTCTGCAATCCTTTACTCCCCCATATAACGCAAAATTGCAGACAGAGATCGCTTTGCACGAGAGCTACTCGGACTTTCTTTGGCACCCCGATACTTTCATTCCAAATGCAATAGCATCCAAAAACCCTCGAAAGCAAAGCATAACGCATAGATCACTGCTAAGGTAATTTCTTCGACATTTCTTAATAAATAAAAGTGAAAACCGCATCTGAGCCTTAGCTATGCCGTTTATTAGTACAATTTGGGAATACTGATCATAAAGAACCTGATG